ACACACACACACACACACACAGTCAGCAGCAGTGCCAGTAAATAAAACAACTGTCATGGGTGAAGAGAAAAATCAGACCTGCACCATCGGGAGGCTTCAATAAACTGCTGCAGTCAGCTTTTAAGTGTTCGGGTTCGATCGACGGTCAAACCTGTTGCAGTGTGCTCAAGAAAAATAATATAAAGCAATAGCTGTGTTTTTAATGCTTCTTGATTGATTAAAATATAAAAAAATAAGATTGTTTCTAATGGAGGGATTGTTGACGTGAGCACCTGAATAATGCAGAAAAAATAAACAGCTCAGCGAGTGCAAAAAAAATAATTACGCCACAATATTTGAAATAATCAGCACATTTCTTTCAGCACCAATACCGCCAGGGCTGCAGGTTGCACTGCCAGGTGTGGATTCTGCCCCGTCTGTAATTTATTCTGCTTACATTTACAAACACGACGCCTGCTCGCACAGCAACGGAGCGCAGCAAGCATATTCTGACACAATAAAGAAATGTGGCGTTATTTCAGGTAATCTGCCAAACAGACGACGCAGCAGCTGGATTTATCACGGGATTCGTTTCCGTTTTATGACTGGCGTCTTCAAACCTGATGTTTGACAGCATATTGCCTGAATTCCTGCACATAGCTATGAAGCTATACAAGGTTGATATCGGGCGCCTCTTGCCGTAGAGAAGAGGTCTGACTGCCGGTGACACGAGGTTCCCTGAACTCAAGCCTCCCTCTGGACTTCCTATTACCTGCTTCACCTACACTGAGATCTGAAGACAGAGATTTTCTGCTGGCCTTCCTCCCATGACCGCTACGCCAAACCCCCAGTGGACCCTGAGGACACAGAGGACAGTTAGAGGTGGATTTGTGGGAGGTGCGGAGACCATTTACATCATTTTGAGACAGTTGCAGGTGATCACAATAAAATCCCATGTTTAGCGATGGAAGACATTTGGGGTCCGTGACTAACCTGGTGTTTGGTAACCATGTGGGCAGTGTTGATCAGCGGATGTCTGATGGAGGGTTTGTAATGCAGAGGTTGGCCCAGTAGAGAGTAGTGGGCTTCACCTGAAGGTCACAGGAAAAATCCATGAAGTGCATGAATTACTGTTGTTCTCCAATCTGCCTACTGCGTCTGCTTTAGTGAGCGTGCAGGCTAAATTCAAAGTGTTATAGAGATGTTATCATCGTGAGCTCATGGTGATAATTTACAAGGCAAAAAAAATAGAGTTTCGTTTGCTGTTAAAATGAAATCATTTTTATAATTAACTTGCTAACAGGTTTTTTCCTGTGATTAAAATGTACCAGACTCAGGATTAAGACACAAACATAATTTCCTCTGTTTTAATTAGACGGCCATGTTGGTGAGCATTGTGCGCTCTTGAACTGTGGTGTGTGTGAGTGAGTGAACCCTGAGTGGCCCGCGTGTGTCTCCGACCTTGTCCACTGTGGCAGAAGGCTGTAGGGAGCTGGGGGTGGTGGGCCATGACAGGGATGGGCGAGATGCCTGGTGGGAGGCCCTTGACGCTGGGCAGCTGGCCTGGCGAGGGAGTGAGCGCCGGGGACGAGGGCAGGCTGCTCTACACACAACACACCGACGGGGGCGGCGGGAGGGAATGGGGAGAAAACACAAAACAATTTCATTCAAAAAAAAAAAAAGCAAACCTCAGCTTCGGCTTCCTTTCACAAAGTCATTTTGTCGTTCGAGCCTTTGCTTTAACGCACCATTCCATCCACATTAGTCCCACTAATGTTCCATTACAACCTAATGCTAAGGACTGTTTTGTCCTCATTTTCAGGTTGCGGCAGTGTTGACTTCATTTGCAGAGCCTGTTTACCATGACATTAACCTACATGCCTGCAGGGAGGCTGGTTTTAGCCCGAGCACTGGCTTTAACATTAGTTTTAACCCTCTGACATCAGTATTGTCGTATGTGACTAACCTTTTCTAAGCACATATAATTTCACTTGAAATGATCAGGAAGAAGCTAAACCTCTGGGCCACTGATTAAATTAAATGTTTTTAAAGCCATAAGACAATAAATGAGGTTTTAAATAGAATCGTATCACTTTCAACTATTAGGTGAAAATGGCTTTATTGCATTTTGTGTGATTATCTCCTCATAGTCTAAGCACTTGGGCAGCGTTTGTACCTGGGTGATGTCTGGAAGCGGTGGGAGCTCAGCAGGCCTGCGGCTGCGCTGGTTCTCGGGCCCTGGGTGTTTGTAGCCGGGCTGTTTCCGCTGGCAGGGGGAGGGGGCCCGGGGCTGCTGGCATGGGGGCGCTGTCATTTGCAGCATCACCATGCCACTGCTGGGGGCCGGTGGTAACAACCCTACACACACAAACACACACACACACACGTAACATAATTGATAGACACCTTATGTAAGTATTTTCATTTAATTCATCACCTCAACTCGTCATCTATGCACCAGAGTAAACCCAATAACCAAATGCGTTTGTGCCCAAAAGCTCCTTTTCAGCACTTTTGTTCAGCAACGTGCCTCATCAGTGAAAACTCTCACACCGTTAGCTGCTGAACAATTAGGCTTTAAGTGCCTTGATTATAAAAGGCACATCCGTGGTGCATTAACAGACCATTCCCTTTTCCGGCTAAATCCACCGCGATGATCCGAGAGATCCAATTATCTAATGAGTTTCTGACGCATGGCTGTGAATAATGTGACTTTAAAGGAAAAGAACAAACACGTGGAGATGTGACCTCCTGCTCTGTGAACTCAAAAATAATACAACACATTTACATCTAATTAATTTCTCTTTACATAAAAACTGGAAATCATATGACAAACTTTACACAGCTGACGCCGCTGTTGATTCATGGAATAATACCTAATAACAGTTGCAAGGACAGTGGATATTTGGACTTAATCTGCCGATTATTTCTGGCCCCGGCACAGCCAATTAAAAATGTTTACTGGTGATGCTGTAGGTAACGCATCCGCGAGACCTTCATCTGACCTCATTACTGACGAGCTGAAAATGATGGCTCCCTCCGCTGCTTTCCCGTGATATCAGACATGAATAATAAAGGTCATTAGTGAGGCGACCGCCCCACCTGAGTCTCTGGACAGTGATTCTGTGAGTCTTCTAAAGGCCAACACCAAACAGGAGGGACATGAAATAACTGTCTCATACCTCAAAAAGGCTAAACCCTGGAAGAACCCATTTTACCACGTGTATTTTTCCACAATCTTTTGCTAGTTTTCTTCTGTAAACAACTGTTTAACATCTTGCGTAGTACATACCTTTTTTTTTAAAACCAACTCAACCAATATACCGTTATCACTTTATTCAAACCCCGAAATGTCAATACTGTTATTGACTTCAATAATCAAGTATCAGTCAGGACACGACATCATCATCTACTTATTGTGTAAGTAGCTTGGATCACATTTTTTGTCACTTACATTTTTATTTCTTTAATCAAACACAATACAAATCCTCCTTAATTCCTTCCATGTGACATGAAGATGGTGATATATTGTGTGTGTATGTATAACTGCATAACTAATATCAACTACTGAATATCTTTAAAATAATTCATGAGGGGCTTCTTGTAAATAGCTGTGCTGCCATCACATGATAAACTACACAGAATCGTCATTTAGGAGGACGACAGTGAGGAAACCCAACATCAGTGATTTCTTATTTCAATCGTTTTTCCAAAAATGCTGAAAGAGTTGTCAACATAACGTTTGGTGGTGGAGGTGGATGTGCAAAAATCACTGTCACGCATCCAAACTCTGAAGGGAGCTGTCGTCACCCTGCTCCTTGTTTTCATGCAGATGTTGGAATTTTCAGCTTTAGAGGTGAGCTCACCTGCGTACTGTTGGCCTGGGTGCTGCTGGGAGACACAAGGGGACGAGGACTGGGGAAACTGGAGCTGCTCCATCATCTGGGTGGGCAGGAAACTCACTGTTGAACTGCAAAGAACAAACAGCAAGTGTTTTTTTTTGGGGGGGGGAGTTGTGTAGCGTTCACCAAATTAAATTAGACTTTTAAAAACCTCCCAGTCTAATATGACGCTCACTCTTACGGCGGCCTTTACAAAAATCCCTTCTAAACCTGCACAGACGTAAATCTCCCGGAGCTGCAAGACCCTCGAGATGCAGCTGAGGTATTAAATTTGAAATTTAACAGCAAAGTCCATCTGCGGAGTGGGCACGCTGCTCCGTGAGCACCCCGCCTGCAGGGACTCGTGTGCAGCTGGTGAAAAAGCAGGCTGCAGGTGGACAGTCCATCCTCATGGGAGTAGAGTGAGCTGTTCCGGACGCTACCGCATAAATCATCTCCACGACAACTGCCCTACTAACGCAGCCTCATTTTACAGCTGGGACAATGAGAAAGTCACCTCCCTCTCTCTGTGTGTGTGTGTGTGTGTGTGTGTGTTTGTGTCTTTTTGTTGTTCTCATGCAGGTGATGACTCTGTATGCGTGGTTGTGTTCATGTCTGGTGTTTGTGCATGCATGCTCGTCCCAGTAGTGCCCCACTCAACAGTATCCAGATTGATTGGGTCCATGGAAGAAGAAACTAATTACATGTTTTGCTTTCTGTGAACTAGTTCTATCAATCATCTATAATGAGAGAGGGTATGGTGATGCACGCTACTCCACGGCAGCGGAGAACTGGAGGAAAATGACTACAGCTCTTTGAGAGGGCGTCAGAGTCCACATTCATCAGCTGCACGCAGACCCAGTTCACCCAAAAGCATTCTGGTAATAACTTCACCCCCCCCGCAGTGAATAACGATGACCTTGGCTCAGAGGTGCAGTTGGGATTCACTCATCAGGCCTGTTATATCTATAAATAAGAGGCACCTTCACAAGTGAGAAACAGCTTCAAGAGCCCGCAAATCGGTTTCTGGGACAAAGCCGAGCTAATAACTCAATGTTAACCTGATTAAAGAGACTTCAGCGATTATAATACAGGGGAACCATAAATCAGAACAAGTGTATTATCAGTGTAAACACGGCTTAAGTTAATCTTGGAAAAATTAGGCAACATCAACTGAATTAATTCTGTAATATTTTAGGTCAGATTATTAAATGTATTAAATGTAAACTTCAAGTGGCTAAAAATGGTTTTAAATGTTTAAAGGTATTTTATCTTTAAGATTCAACTAAAAATGAAATCCTTGAGAAATAAACACAACAGCTCGAGCTTTGGAGGGAAAATGTTGCTCTTAAAAACCTAGACGTTGCTTAAATACATTTTTTGTTTAATCAGTTAAATTGAGAAAGAGATGAAATAATCGTGCACAGTCGGGCGTACCTCATGGTGGTGTGCTGGTTCTGGGGGAGCAGGCTGTAGTAGGGCGACATGCCAGCAACAGCCATTGCCCCCTGTCCCGGCTGGCAGGACACAAACACTGGCTGCTGGTACGTCTGCTGTGGCAGAGAAACCTGCTGTAGAAGAAAAAACGAATCAAGTGAATAACATAGAAAACTTTAAATGCACAACAACAAATGTTAGATCATTGGCAAAGGTTTGTGCAAATGGAAAACATGCAAATACATTTATTTTCTTAAAAGTAATAACTCAGATGTCAATAAATGTGTCTGTACACTTGAATACACTTTTTTCTCCTTGTTCCTCTACAAGAACATCAGCCTGAAAACAACAGCAATTTTCATTCATAACTAAATGAGCTGAAAGCTACTTGGTGATTTTATCAAATCTGACACTCAAAAGAAAAGCATCCCTCTGTAAAAAATACCTGATAAGACTGCATTGGAGGGTACTGGACCATCATGCCTTGCATCTGGTTGCCCATATTGCTTTGCTGGTTGCCAGTGAGGGCGAGGTTGGGTGTTGGCTGCACGCCCACTACAGTCTGGTAGCTGGACGCTGGGTTTGGCATCACTGCTTGGTGCACTGGGGCAAAATGAGAAAAGCATAACGGCGTGACCGGATGAAAAGAGACTCTCGATTATAACTGATAATCATATGACACACAAAACAATGCAATACAATATTCAGGATTCGTATGCAACACAGCAGGAGGAGAAGCTAATAAACCCTGGGAAAAGACTCATTTTGCGGTTTTGTGTTGAAATAGTTTGAATAAAGAGATTAAATGAAGGAACCTGCAGCAGATTGAAAGATTGTGGAAGTCAGGACTTTGCTCAGGGAGTTGAGCTGTTACAGCTTAGCAGCTTTGAGGCTCTTGGAATAATGAGAAAGTCAATATATTTGATTCAGCCTGTGGTGGCCTGAACATGCAACCTGAGTGGCCGGGCCACGTCTCTGCCTGGGAAAAAAAATATTCTACTAGTGATTTGGTCGAGTGGGTAAACACAAAATGAGATCGCACTTTTAAAGTACTTCTTAAAAAGTAAGACGACAAAAGACGATACAAAGTCACACAGGTACTGCCATTTTACGAACGGCCTAAAATGGCGGCGCTTGTTCCTAGCCTGAGGGGAGGAGGGGGTAGAGACGGACCCTTAAATGTCAAGGTGACAAAAAAGACATTTGAAAATACTGTCCCCGGTGACACACAGATGTGGTAATCCAAATGACAAAGGAGAGGACGTCCTTTTGTGAAGGTGTCTTTACAGTCTGCCGCCCTGGGAGGAAAGTACAACTAGACAATGAAAACGGTCCGCGAGGAACTGAGGGGGAGGACTATTTTTATCCACCCCCCGTCTCCCACCTTCGCTTACAAACCAAGCATGAAATGAGCGTAATATCAAATGCACACAGTTTTATTCCGTACCAGCGGGCAGCAGATGAGGGGAGACTGTGGTGTCTTTACTTAGAAAATTCCTTCAGAGGCAGATAATGAGTGTCCAGGCGTCAATGACTGCCCTGCTTTTGGCCGGGGACAGTTTGGTGCAGTTTAAGGATTAGAGCCATCAGCGAGGACGGACCAAAGAGTTTTTAAGTGACACAACTCCATCCTCCTTCAGTGACAGTTCCACAGTTGGTCTCTCGTCATAAAGACTGACGGGTTACTGTACATCCTGCAGGTGAGGAGTGAGGGGCTGAAAAAGAGACCGGTTCACTGTGAGATTCATAGAGGCCTCTCAGACAGCGTCCCGGCCCCGCATCCCGCCTCTCAGACTCAGGACAGTAAAAATCGCACAGAGCTGCACTGCTAAGCTGATAAAAGATGCCTTTTACACTGCAAACTATTCATTCCACTCAAACCTAAGGGATCTGTATCCAGATCGTATGTTGTGTGATGTATTTATGTTAAAAATAATTATTGATGGACAATATTTATTGGATTTTTAAAACTCCCAAATTTCATTATATGAGAGGGAATTCTAACGTTTTGACTATTTCTGACTATTAACATGCATCATTCAACCCATCATTTATAGTGTTTAACCTTTGCATTTGTTTCAATCAATGTTTAATTAAAGTATGGATTAAAATTTGTTATATTGGAATTTTTTTTGGATTTCATGTCACTTTGATCACAAGTACTCACTGATTAAATCACTGAGGAAGAAGTGCCTACTATAATTGAATTTTGTTGACATGTCATCATTGCTTAAAATAAAAGCTCATTATCTTTCATTTCACAGTAATTTTAGGTTTCATTAATTTAAATTTAATTGACAACCTTTATGATTATCTATTAATTGTTAGAGGGCATTTTCTCTTTTGACTCAGCTTCTCAAATGTGAAAATATGACCTTCATCTAAATTGAATATTTGATTCTTCGGCTGTTGGTTGGATTGATCAAGACATGATGACATCGACTTGGGGGTCGAGGAAATTGCGACGGACATTTTCATGTCAAGGAAGCTTTTAATAACCTCTAACATCACATAATAGCAACGACTAAGGGAAGATCCGTCGTTTCTTCACATTAAATACAAAACCCTTAACTCAATATGACCATGACTGAAGCTGAAGCCCTGCGGTGATGGCGACTGTCTGATGCAAGTGAGTGGAAACATTTGCAGGTTTCTCTGTGGACACCGACTGGGCCCTCAGAGAATTACCGCTGATCAATTATTTATTATGTGTGCAACCCCAGCTGCCGTGTCTTCACCTTTAGATGGTCTTATATGTATTGTTTTTAATTATTGCAAAAACAGAAGGGAAGTGAGGCGTTGGAGTCATTTTTTCCAACATTTCCCTCAGAAATAATTGCTGTCCTTTGCCTTTGTAGGTCAGCTTCATTTGTCCGCTGTCTATTCCCCGGGTCCCCAGCAGGGAAGCCGCATTTGCAGCCTACAGATGACAGAATAGTGCCGCAGCCACTTAAAGAGACGTACGTATGTCTATGTGTGTGTGTGTGTGTGTATGTGTATGTGTGTATGTGTGTGAGAGAGGCTGAGCAGGAGCTAACAATCTCAGCTCCTGTGGTGAAAAATAAAAAAAATAAAAAAGACGACAGAGAAACAGAATAATCAAGTAGACGACTCCCGGGGAGACATCTGAACTCATAAAAACAAACAAACCGGGAGGAAAGCAAGGGAGAAATATTTGTCCTTCACTAGAGCCGTCGGACTGCGGCTGGTGCAGCTCCCTCATGGAGAAAACAAATAAGAAGAGGAAGAACAACAAAAATGCAATCTAGGCACTCAAAGCAGGAGGTGAACAAAGTCTATTGCTAAAGCATGAAGGCCGGGCCTCACTGTGAACACCATGAAGTCTGGAGATTCAAGAATCAGAGATCCGGGATCTTATTCATTAAAACACCCTTTGATTTGACCATTGTTACTATTTCAAAGCTTTATTTAAAGCTGTGGTTCAACACAGAAAAAAAAGGACGACCTGCTGCTTTCTCGGTTTCCAGGAGGATTTGCATTGCAACTCAATTTTGAATTAGATATAATGACAAAGGTGAAACTGAAACTTTGTATTTACAGGGCTGTGCATGGATGTGTGTAAAAACAATATTTTATTTTTTATATATTCATAGAGTGAAAATAATTCGACTTTCTAAAAAAAACACAACTTAACATGTTAATGTATATCTCATTATAAAAAATGACTTATTACCTTGTTGCTGGGGCAGGTTTTGGCTCTGAGGGCAGTTATAGGGCAGCGTGTTGACGGGGGGTCGGTAGTGGTGGTGGTGGTGGTGCTGCTGCTGCTGATGCTGCTGCTGCTGATGATGATGATGATGCTGAGTGGAGCAGTGTGGGTGGTGGGCTGAAGAGCAGTAACATGTGGACATCTGTAGGAGACACAGAACACAAATTCAAAGATTGTGTAACACGTCAGCAGCCATTTAATCCATTCCCAAGCAACAAGAGAAAATGAAGGATTAGTCACAAAAGCTGGTTTCTGCTGCAGGAATTACACGTGGTGACAAATTAGCAGAAGCACAGCGGGAGTCCGTACCTGCTGTACAGGCTGCTGGAAGTAAGCATGCTGCTGGAACGGCGGGTTCAACGCGGACCCGGGAAAAGCATTGGGGCCCGGTGTGGAGCTGGGATATGCTTGGTTGGGGCCTGGAGTTGGGAGTGGGATGGGATGACCCTGCAGCACCCCTGAGTGTCCTCCTGATGGCCCTGCCATCATGTAGCCAGTAACCTGCTGCGGAGGGGCTCCCTGCAGTACCAGAGGGGAGGGGTGGTGGTGGTGGTGGTATACAGTCGGATAGTGGCGGGTGTCTTGAGCTGTGGCTCCGCTGTCGCTGGGCGGCTGCTGCGTCAGAGTCATGTGACTGAACTGGGCGTTCAGGACGTCAGGCTGGAAAGATAATTCAGGGTTACATTTCTGAAGAACAAAATTAAATCCAATTATATACACCAAACACAAATAAACATACACAAGCACTGACAATGAAACCTGGGTCACAGTATTTTACTCAGCGAACCAGCTCAGAAAATGGATCAATTCACTTCCACCCCCGGGGACAGTCAGCTGATTTCTAAACTAAGTGCCGAATCAAAGACATTTGTTAAATTGACTTCCACATGAGGATTTAAACAAATGCTGTATTTAAATCTGACCCAGGTCTGCAGAGACAAGCTAACTCCAGTGAACTATTTATCTGTATCACCAGCGCACACCAGTCCAGGTCATCCCTGACATGTTGTTGGAAGAGTAGTGTTTTTAGTCATGGATTATTCAGGGCTAACATCTGGTGATGAATTAAATATTAATGGAATTTTCGACAGGCATAATTAGTCACAGAGGCATGTCTTTCACTAAAACCAGGTCAGAAATGAGGTTAAGTGAATGCATGATCTATATATGTGGGTAATGGCTCCTTCTGGATTTAGATGCACCTTTTCACCAAGATTTTTTTTTAAAATTGAATAGTTAATAAATAATAGGGTCTGTTTGGAAAGGGGAGAGAATGTTGTGCTTGATTTGACATATCACTACAAAGACCTTATTATGCCAAACCTACAGTAACGAGAACTTAGTTCACAATTTGAAACAAACATAAAAGTCACATAGATAAAAGTATGAAGACCTGGATCAAATCAGAGCTCTGAGTTTTTCTTAAGCTTGAGTAGAATCTATTTGGGAGATTTTCTAGATAACTAGACAACTTAATTGAATTTCACAGCTCAGAGAAAAGTATAGATAAACTCTTAATGAGCCAGGTCTGGTAGAAGATGAGACGGAGGAAGAATAATAAAATGGAAGAAGAAAAGTTCTGTACCACAGTGTACTGTTGGTTAGGACAGATGGGCAGGAACTGAGAAGGAGGAAGAGGATAAGAGACCATTGGGTTGTGGACAGGCTCAGAGGACGGCTGGAGAGGACAGATCGGCTGAGGGAGGAAGGGAAGAAGAGATGGACAGAGGGACAGGGCATGAGACTTGGCGGATGTTGAAAGTAAAATGGCGGAAGCTTCAGCTGACCATTTGCTAAGTTGCTGTCGCTGCACCTGTTAGATGAGCAGTTTACAGAAACAATGGGCAATTTTATCAGTTGAAAAGGGAAGCTGGCTGCCAGCTACTTCTCATTTAAGTTTCTCAAACTCAAAACTCGCCCTCGTCAGGCAGAGATATGGCAGCTAAGTGATGATTGGATGAATAGTTAATTAAATGGCTTAGTGAAGCTCCTAACATCACACCATTGGCTCCAGTTTAAACACGAGAAGTTAGTGAGGTTAAGAAAACACTTCAAATCCAAAGTTCCAGATTCTAGCTGGAAGAAATAGCCCCACCCACTGACCTGGGAGTGCAGATGATTGGTCGTCTGCTGCTGGCTTGCGGCAGAGATCGGCTGCTGTGGGGGTTTCCCCTGCTGTGGATTCCTGCCAGCAGCGGGGACGATGCTTGCCGGGTTATAAACTACAGCGCTGCCATCGGGATGGATGAAAGGCTTGCCTGTTAAATTAAATTCATAAGGAGACAAAAAGCCACACTGATGTGAGCTGTGCACTAATAATTCAGCGTCCTTGAAAGGAAAACACTGGAATTATGGTGATTGAGACAGAGCAGGACACACCCAAACACAGTGAGGAGACACAAGAGCAACTGGCAGCAACATAAGTTCAGTTTTCAGATCAAAAGTGTGCGTTAGGCCCATGATGAATATTTTCAGATTCCTCCCATCTGTTCGAATCATTTTGATCAGCCTGCTTTGGTCTGACTACTAATTTGAAAGACAAACTGAGTGCAGCCTCATGCCAACATGTAATTCTGTCCCCAAGTCATGAATCTTCATCAGGACACCAGAAAATTACAAGACAGAGAAATTTATTTTGGGAATAAAATACTTTGATTTGACGCAGGAGATTTTGATTCAGCTGGAGCAGCTTTATCACCCACCTGTGTGTGGATTGACTAGAACGCTGCCGGGTGGTATCGCTGAGGGTTCCAACGGCAACACGTAGAAGTTGGTTGTGTCTAAAGCGGGTGGTGGCTGCGAGGGGATGCTCTTGATCATCTCAGGGTGTCCAGGGCCTCTGGTGTCAGCGGCCGGGTGGATTAATTGCGTGTTGAGGATGTTGGATCGGGTCGCTGCTGAAACTGGGAGAGGCAGCTGTGGACGGGATAGCGAGCTGGACGAGGACCCGACGCTACTGCATGATTCTGAACCTGACAAAAGTCGGAGCAAAACCATTATAATCTACTTCCTACATTTCCAAGAATCACTATAAGGTGGCTCCTGAAGAAAAACATGAACTTGAACGAATAATAATACGTTTATTTATTTGGCACAAAACACAGCCACAAATATTTTTCAATAAAAAGATATTTAAAAAAGCTGAGAGAATAAAACAAATTAAGAGTAATAAAAACTAATGACATAATATAACACAAAGAGTAAAATGATCTCAAACGGCATACAGTTAAATCTCTGAATAGCACTTTGAAACAAGTGGGTTATTGAGATGAGGCAGAGTTTGGGGCCCTGATCTCCTCTGGGAAGTCATTCTGCAAAGACTCGGTCACCTTTGTTTTTCAATCAAAGCATCCACAAATTCTTTTCATTCTTTAGTTCTGTAATTTAAATCTTATCAGTGTTCAGCTAATTTCACTGGAAAGACAAATTAATGATAAAATAGCTTCATAGCTTTGAGCAAAAAGGCAAAAAAAATGAGACTAGAAGAAGAATTTATCCTTTTTAACATGAGCTCCTGTTTTCAGATGGAGATATCTCACTGCTTGTTGCAGAGAAAGGTTATTTTAGGGCTGAGGAGGACAAGGCAGCACAGGCAAGATGTCTCCTCCACTTATACTCCCAAAACACTAAGTGAGGGCAGCCAGCCACGTCGTAAACGACTTTAAAAAAAAAGAAGAAAAGCTACTCGGCCAAGAAGCGTAAATAAGAGGACAAGCCCACAGCGCAGAACGCGTTTCATCTAATCTCAGCCAATCAACTTACAAATGTATCATATTGTGGAGTAAGCACTCACAGCCGGGGAGAAGCCCTAACTTCATCTTGGTGACTGGCGTGGCACTTATACATTATGCAGCAGCTCCTCATTGCTAAGTTTGATACTACTGCTGTAACAACACTTTTTAACAGCCTCTTCCATCACCACGTTGCTGCACGGCGATTAGTTCTGACAGCTGTCAGGCTACGGGCCGGCCCACAGACTTTATTGACCACGGCAGGACAACAAACATTTGTTCTCATAACACCTCAAGTGCCTCGAATGACAAAGGATTTCGCTTGACAATGCAAAATTTGCATTTCTGTTCCTTTTCCCCTCCATTTGTATAAAATTACTGAATTTCTCCTCTTAATGCTGGGATTCTTTCTCTTGTCTGAGGAAATGAAAAAATAACAGCGACAGAAATCACACTGAATTTACCTGAACAATATAATCACCATCAATCGCACAGCGGCTAATAAGACATGACTTCCATGTGGATGGCAGAATATCTTCTATGCTGCTTTTGTATTATAAACTCCCTCAGTAAGGTATTTTTACACTTAAACAAGTATTTTAAAATTTAATATTGTATGAAAGCTGTGTGACGCAGCTTCACGTCTGCCTCACTTGCCTGTTTTTGAGAGCCTCCCGGTGCTCTTGCTGCTGGCTGTGCTGTCCCCTCGGACGAGGCCCGGGGAGATGCCACTGAAGCTGCTGGCCTTGGTCATGGCGGGGCGCGGGGCGAGCCGGTTGGAGCTGTCCGAGCTGTCGGTGCTGCTCCACGGCCGAGGCTCGCCGTGCCGCGTTTCTGTCTCTGAGCTGCTCTGTCTGCTGGCACCTGACCGGCCGGCCCGTAGCCTGTGGAGGAAAACGACACCTTTATTTATAAGTTTGTATCTATGATGTAAAGCTCTTATTTCTGGTCTTATTTCTTCGCAATAACTTGAAAAATCTTTTTTATCAACAGTTCAAAAAAGCTGAAGAGTTCAAATGACAAGTAGATGAAAACTTAAGATTGCTTCGAGAAACATTTATCAAAATGATCAAAAAAGCTATTTAATTTTTTTTTTAATGTTTACTTCTCTTCTGCCATAAAATTAACCTGTTTTTTAAAAAAAAACAACCTATATCTGTATATTTCAATTTATATTTCAAAGGGTTTGATTACTCAATTTATACCTCAAACATGGCCGACAGCCATCTTATCAAAACACATTAATTCCAACTTTTATAGTTGGAATTAATGTTTCACTCACGGAAAAAAACAACAACACTCATTTATAACCAATTCTCGATCAATAAAAGATGACATTTAGAGAAATGGTTTCATGGTCTAATTGGCAAGCTTTGGTCCAAATAGCCTGTCCAACATGAAGAGGCCTGGGCTGAAAATCCTATTTCACAGAAGCTTTCTTGAGCAGCAGAAAAACAAATCCTCTGATCAGCACTCCTGTTCCTGAGCGAGCCGATTAAGACAGACGCCGATTCACAGGGTTCTTTCCCCCCCGCCTGCGTTGCAGTCTCTGAAAGGGGCTGAATGATGTGTGACGAAAGGGTGGGCCTACCTGAACATTTGCCGCCTCTGTTGGGTGCTCATGCATGCATCTTCATCCTGCGCACTGGAGGGAGGAGAGAGCTGTTACGGAACAGGCGGTGACACAATGAGACATCCACCATTTTAAAAACATGACAGAGCGGATGCTGTTGTGACAGGAAAACCACACAAGTGATTTATTTCAAAGTGAAGTGGTTCAGTTGCACAAGATGCTCAATTAACAATTCATGCATGAGAGGTGAAACAAAGCCGGTATTCAAGTGATCAATGCAGTTTAACAGCTTACCTTCTATCTAGTATATAGTGATCTACCTGTGGGTGAAAATGAAAATTACAGTCAATTAAAGAAGTACAGTTAATTCAAAAAATTTGAGGTGTGCTTAAAGCTACGTTTAAAAAAAATCATGTGTCAATTCTATAATATTCATCCATGACTATAATACATTTTACATTTAATAGCAGGTGCTTTGAACCCAGTATAACTGCCTGCAGGTCTACAAAGAGGAGCTTACGTCTAGAAATTCATAAATCCAGCAGTGGTAATTGGTAGCAAGAAATCTACTGAATTTGCACATGAATAGAAATGACACAAAGATTTGTGCAACATGGCGCCCCACCCCCCAGCCCGCCTACACTAACAGCTCTCACATCATGTGCAAATATCCTTTCTCTGGCTCGCTGGTACTCCTCCTCCCGCTCCTCCATCGATTTGCTCCTCTTGTCAGCTTTCAAACGCATTCGAATCTGGCAAGGACACACACCACACACACACACACACACACACACACACACACACACAAACACACACACACACACACACACACACACACACACACACACACACACACACACACACACACACTCTTCTTTAGCAGCTATGTATGGGACGCCAGATTGTCCCACTCTTACCAACATGTCAGAAATGAAAGTGACAGCTTGGTAGAGGAAAAAAAAAAACCCAACACCCACCGTGCTGTCTTCACGATCAAAGCTGGAGTTGTCTCGTTTGAGAATGTAGCGTTTCTGAAAATCGTCCGCCCTGTCATCCTTGATGTGCTCGGAGAATTTCTGATCGGGTCTGTCGGTGGGGGAATTCACAGGAGTTTTTAGTGGCAGCTTCATTCCAGGCAGATGCTGACAGCAACATATTCTAAGTAACAGGAAGGGCTGGATAATAACTTATCTGTCAAGTGACTTTAGCAGCTAAGGCTACAGCACCTTCACCACCATTTAACAAGTAAAGTGATATTATTTCATCTCCTTCAAGTGTCTAATTTTCATGTAATTTATGCTCTGAGTTTAAAGAGGCTTGGCTGTAGGTAAATCAGGAAAGAGAGGCTCACATTCTAGTGTTGGTGGTTTTGTTGATAACCACTGATTTTCCACTGGGGTCCACATTGTGGTCCATTCCAAAGTAGGCTGCCACTCGATGTAACAGCATCCTATGGTAAGGCGTCATGGGTGGAAACTTTCTCTTTTGACTTCTAGGGAGGGAAATAGAAATGTGATTAAAGGTCAATACACAATATCAGAGTGAACTGAGGAGTTCAGGAGGCAGTTTTATGAAATACACTCAAACAAGGCCACAATATTTCTTACTCGTTATTGCTGATGAAGTCCAAGATGTCCTGTTCAAGTTTCAGAAGCATGCTTCGATCCCTGGAAGAACAAAACATGTGAGCATGTTTCTCCTGCCACACTAAAAGCTTGTGGCAATGTTTAGGTACTACTCATAACAACAGAAAAGCATCGGTCAAACCAGAAAGTAGCATAACAATATTCATCCAGGAGTTTTAACAGAATATGAGGATCTAGATGTTGTGCAAGTTGGTCAAATAAAATGTAATTCTTGTTTGTGTGCCAACAAGTAAACATACTTAGGGTTGCCCTTCAGTGTGTTGACCAGGAACTCATGGAGATCTATGCCAGTTGAATCTGTGTAGTCTTGACTGGAATCTGAAAACAGAGACAGGAGAATTGTTTCAGTGATCATAAAAATAATAGAGCTCATTTCTAAACAGCAGATTCCATGGTAATTACTTCCTGCATAATAAGAACTTGACAAGACAAGACAGATCCCTGTGAATGTCGGTGATGTGGTGCACTGATGCTAAACTTAGCTGCAAACTTGTAACCAAATGTACAGAAACCAGTATATAGCCAACACCATTGATGTCATTGTTTCCAGTAAATGCTCATTACACAAAGCTACAGTGTGCAAAGAGAAATCATTGTTTCCCAAATGCTCCTTATTGCACATGAAACTTCAAAACATCTGCATTAGTGTGGATAGGACCTAAAGAAAGAATCCAATATCCTGATTTATAGAGCAGCTCCTAATCTAAACCTTCTCAATATGGTTTCCTCTATATGAATAATTAAGAACTGTTCCACCTCGTTAACTCTCCCAAACTAATGATAAACTGTTAATGAAACACCCGTTATGAATATTGATATGCAAATCAAGCTGCCTGTCATTCAGCTATTTGTGAGTGACAGAATAAATGTCAGACTACACTTCAGTAAAAGAGAAACTTCACAATGTGACCAATACCGAGAAGGGAAAAAGAAAGAAATGTGGCAGCTTGAATCTGCAGCAGTGAGCGCTGAAGTGGACGGATAACGACGTTGACACCGGCAAAAAAAAACATGTTCCCGTGTGCCAAACAGAAGAATAGGAGCCGTCAGTGGGAGTCAGGAGACGCCGGCGCTCACTCCCCTTCTGTGGGTGTCTGCTTTCTATAATTGGAGGCTGCCTCATCAGGAGTGTTGCTCCACAGAGGGAAGCAGACACCTTTATACGCCTGTGGGAATCTATGTAATTGCTTCACACCTTGAGCTTGTCGCAATTAACTGAATCACGCCAATTATCGGCCCATAATGAGATATCATTTCAAATGGAGGAGTGCTTTTGGTCAAACTGGAGGGCACAGCGCCAGAAGAAAAAAAATGTTTAGGATCGGATTTTCCTCTTGACAAGGTAAAGGATGTAATTATTATAAGGCTGTAATTTGGCTGAGTGACAAGGATTGTATGATAAGTATCATTAAAGCATTTGGCTTCATTTCCACACTTTGCCATCAGATACCCTGTCACCATGATATAATAGATTATATGTATTACATTTATGAATTTCGCCACAATTTCCTACATATGAATTCCAAATTCTGGATGTAGTAAAAGCACATGCACCCTTCCAGCTGTTTTTTGGGAGTAAGCAATGTTTATAAATGAGGCCCCAGGTGCTTATGATGTAAAGAAAGCTGAGGTGTTAATGGAAATATTTCAGCTCCCGTCACCGCAGAAGTTAATCAGTTTCCGGGACATCATTCTCATCAGGACTTTATCAAAGATTTTAACTGTGAAAATCAAACCAAACTTGTATAAAATATGTTTAGATACATCTTTCACTGAAGGTTCAAGGACATGAATATTGTAAAATGAATAAGAATGAGAAGTCAAGGTTAAGATATGCAGGAACAAATCTAATATAGCAAAGAGAAAACCCCCCAAAATCTACATGTATTTTGAAGATGAATAGTGCACCGTAGGTTTAATTTCATTTCTCACCTCTCGACAGCCTTTTCCTCTGCGTTTTCTCGGGTTTTTCCACCTTGTCACAGACGTCCTCTTTCTCAGCTTGGTCCTGCATACCTCGTTCTTCCTTTTCAAAGGGCTGGAGAAGGAATCCATCCTGTTAAATCAGAATCAGAAGTACTTTAAAAGGAGGAAAAATAACCAACTTAGAGGTGTGCGTTTGAAATCTTTGATCATTAAATGGTGGAATGTGTGAATTTAACTATTTTTGGGTCACTCAGACTAGCTACCACACACACACACACACACGAGTCCAACGGTGTCAGCATTTTAGAAGGGCGTCAAAAGATAAATGTGAACCTGTTCTCCTCTGATCGATGAGCAGACGTGAGAAATTAATTTAGAAAGGAGGTATTTAATATGAGCCATTTCATCCTCCATGATCTTGCCTGAGGTTCTAGGTTAATTAGAGAATAGCACGGGCAAAAGAGGCCACTGTTAGACACCTAATAAACCCTCCTGGTTTATCTTCGAAAACCTGTTTCCTTCCTGGCAATAATGCGCCTGCGTCCATAAATTCCAAATCACTATGGCAATTAATCCGCCAGATTAGCTTGTTTTTGTCAAGCCACCTGAATAATACATGAATCGGAGCCTGAAATCAAACAACACAGCACATTTTCATTCCATAAAAGTTCATTAGAATGAGGAGTTTCATTGTAATCCCAAACCCAACTGTAAAAATGAATAAATCCAGAAGATCAACCGTGCTGAAGTTGAAGTCTGGCATGGATGTTTTGAGAGATCTATTAAAATTGGCCTTGGTTTACCCCAGTCGTACGCTTCCTCTACCACACTCACCCACACTCACACTCGACTCAGACTTCGAGCAGTATCTGATTTGCTTTTCAGGCGATTCCACAAAGCCTGAAAAGGAAAGCTGAATAGAGGAGAGGGGTTGCCGGTGCACGGTAAGTGGATTAAACACAACTCTGGAAAGCTAACATCAGAGAGAGAGGGTGTGTGTGTGTGTGTTAAGAGAGAGAAGTGAATGAATGATGGCATGAGAGAAGGGGGTGACCCAGTGGTTGGGAGAGCTGCTCATAACCAAAAAAGGTCACGAGTTTGATCCCTGTAACAGCTGCGGAGCCAGATAATGAGACGCTACGTTCTCCTTCATTTTAAGATGCGGTGATTATATGTGAAAATGTAATATGCTAATGAGAAGCGTGACTGACTAATTGCCTGAGCGAGCCTGGGAGAAAGTGAAAATGAGTCTCGGATTGTGCGTTGTGGAAGTGACAGCGACTTTGTATGTGTGTGTGTGTTTTTCAAAGCAAAGGGATTTTTTTTTTCTTCTCCTGGCAAGAAGCGGTGATGTTTGCTACTTAATGCCACCCTTGGCATCACGTGGAAGCCGCCCAGTTGATGTGCAGCTGTTGCAAGCTGCCTCATTTGTTTCCTGACATCCATTTACCTTCAGATAAAAGAAGAACAGCGGGAAAATGATGGCCTTCTGAATACGTAATGAACGTGCTGTCAGCCTGAAACAAAAAGTACGTCTGTGTATTCAGACACCCGCGACTATTGGCCGTTGATTCAAACTGACAGCCAGGCCTTCTTTGTAAGGGTGGTTGTAAATTTGGAGATGCACAACCTTTAGATCCATACAGGCCTTTTCCACATATTTTGACAGTGGCAACAATAATGTAAAATGGTGAACAATGGGAAATGTTGAGATTTGACTGAGAATCTGTGATCATCCAGACGATTGTGTACTCCACTAATGCGTTTTTCCCCCCTTTTCTTTATTGCTTTACCTCGCCCCTCTAGGTTAGTTTACCGCAGAAGGAGTCTCGACTCCGGGCCCAATAACAGTAGCGGGGGAAATATCAGGAGTATTCAATTAGAGCGCTCCACAGCTCTCTGTAGCTGACGTGTGGAAATTGTAATTTCCTGGACATGATTGATGGCAGTAATACAAGACGTCGTGTGAGTGCAGACGATGCGAAGCTGTTGTGGGAATAAAACCCGCCCTCTGGTTATGCAGCTCAGTGCTGACTGGCTGAAACGGTGAGAACCGACTCACCTGTGTGTATTTGTGCATTGTGTGTATGTGAGTGAAAGCATGCCGGGAGCTGTGCAGAGTGGCATGTAATGGAGAAAGTTTGATCAGCCAGGGGAGTGGGGAGGGCTTGGTCCGGACATTCAGTGTAAAGAAAAGAGTTGAATTAGCAACGGCTGGCTCGCCATCGCAGCTCTTTCTGTTTTCATGATGGTGATGTTTTTATCAGGCGGTCGTGGCCTGGTATTTAATCATAGCTGTCAGACGAAGGACACTAATCAAGCATTAGAGGTCTACCTGCTCGAATATAATGAGCTGGAAGGGAGAACTGATCCGAGGTCAGCATAACAGTGCGAAGCATGTGGGCTTGAGCTTAACAAATTGGGCTGAGGTGTCGGGAAAGCACATACTTCACCCTGGGCTTGATGAGACGAAGGTGAATTGAAGAATTTACAGTGTTTAAAAAGAAAAATCGAGCATATATGAACAGAGTGTATTTGCAATTAGAGAGGTGCCAGTATCAAATATTCAAATTTTTAATTATTTAAAGTTTTAAGAAATACTATTGGAGATGAAAGGTAAAACTACCTTCACAATGATTTCTGTAGATTCTTTTAAAAATCAAAGTATGAAATAAATACATTTCCAATGTTACGCTACAACAAGAGATTTACATGCAAAGAGCCCGATGGTCCTGTTGTGGTAGTACTGCCTGTTTGACCGATAAGTACAACGCGCCAACAATCGTGGCATTAACAGTTGTAGCAATGGATGGACGGATTCAACACAATGCATTGAAAAAATGGTTGACCAGGACATCTCCAATGTGAATGCACTCACTTATTTACGGAGACTGTTTACCTGAGGTGCTGCTGAAGGCTCAGGGATAGGGCAAGGGAAGGACTCTTCACACACTGCCAGGCTCCGCACGAGCTTTAGCCTGGTGTTGGACTAAGGGTGCAGGTAGGTGGGCACAGTTAAAACCATGCACACACACACACAACTGCATCAATATCATCACGCATCACAGTGACAAGCCAAAGTAAAAGAGAAAACAGCCAGCGAGCACAATCAATTCTTGCAAGCAAAATCATACAGATCCAATATTTCACATTTTCGCTGACAAATCTTGTTCCTAGAGTGACAGAGCTTTTCGCCCGCTAAGATGTAGATCTGTGGCTCCAGATTCTCTCCGATAACTTAATCAGAACAATCTTAAGTCAAAAAGTCAGAGTAAGCGTTTTCACATAAACCTAATCCGTGTCATATTTTTCCTGAACATCAACAGCAATGCAGCAAGCTCACAGGATATGTCCATTTCAAACTATTTGCATTCTCAGGCACAGCTCAGACGTCAGACTTCACTTCACATAATGACATCTCATATATTGAACTGGAGGAATTTTATACATCTGCAGCAATGTGTACGATGACAACTTGCTCGACAGGAAACACAGGTACAACTTCCAACTCAATCCAAGCAAACAACGCAATCCAAGTGCACATGAGACGCGTTCGGAGCATCCTTGCACAACATGCATTTCTATTGTACTGTACCTTAGAGTACTTCACAGGCTGTCCATAGGAAGGGGAGGGGTGCAGGATAGAAGTGCACAGGAAAAACAAATCAAACAAACCACAGAAGTTTGGAAGGGGAAATGAGGATTGTAACTTTTTTTTTTTAAGAAGTGGAGAAGTTTGAATTAAATATGACTGGCCTACATTTTGTGCATTCACGCACTACTAGCTCTGCAAAAGCGCAGAAACAATTCAAGATGGCAAAAAAACATCATCTCGAAATGCCTACGTTTTAATGTTTGTTCCTAAAGTGAAACATTTTAGAGGCATTGATCTGCAAAAAAGAAAATCCTCTTTGCAGCATGAAATCTCAAGTTTAACATTCACAATTTCCTGGGAGCATGAATTAATTTCTGCAGAGCATATGGCACCAAAGCAGTTGCACTGTAGGGCCACTTTCTCTCTCTCTCTCTCTCTCTCTCTCTCTCTCTCTAACACGGAGCAGAAAACAAAAGCCAGACATTTGGCTGCAAGCGCGTCAGGTCAGTTTTATGCCGAGCTCCCAGCTCCATTTAGCTGTCATGTGAATCAGACCCAGGCTCTGGGGGTGAGATGCAGAGAGCAGAGAGAAACCAGCCGCCCAACAGTGTGTGAGACAGCTCGGTGCCTCTGCGCTTTACGCACTAGTGGCTTTGTGTGTGTGTGTTATGTGTACGTATAAACAGAAGGTCTCTCAGTAAGTGCGCACAGAGGAGGGGGGAGACCTGGCAGGAGCCATTTTAGTCTGAATTGTAACAGAGCCCAGTCCTCTGATTCCTAATCCCAACATGTATCCACACACACTCATGCACACAGAGCTCTGTCCTTCCCACCTGTCCTCTAAAAATCAAAAGGACAACCCCTCCCCTCCCTCATTGAGCTTGAGGGCCAAATAACACCTATAAAAAAATTGAAATGGACCACTATTCGCCCATCTCCAGTGTCTGTGACCTGCTGCGCCCCATTTTCTGTAGCAGGTAATGTGGATGTGGAAGAGGTGATGGTGGGGGGGGGGAGGGCTGGGACTGTGAGTGCACCGCTACACCAGCTAATTGAGTGGCGTGGGGCCGGTGGGGAATGAACAATGCCGCCAGGAGATAAAGGAATGGGAAAAAGGGGGGAGAGGGAAAGGGCTGTAGTCAGCAGAAGTAGGGCGGCCACCAGCCACCTGTCCTGCTGCAGAGGACGGAGCTGGAGGCAGATGGTGGCAAAGTCACCCAGTCTTTGTAACCCCCTCCTTTTTCCTCTGTTGGAATGCTATTCTGCATCCCCTGTTCCTTATCCTCATTCCATACCTCCTCCCTTTCTCCCACAACGAGTTTTTCAGGCGTTTAACCATCGCTGATACGAAGAGCGGCGGAATTAGCTTCACTTCTTCTGTGGTGAGAAATTACAATCAGAAGGTCAGGGGCTTCAGAGCCAACAGCATATGTTGGCATGGACACGGTAGAATTATGCCAGGGTGAGTTTTAGGAGGAGGAGCAGAATGAGAGGTAAGTAGTTAGATGGCCTACATTTGGAGAGGTCACAAAAACCTCACAGGGGGCTCGAACATAAACTACGTCAATTTAAGGTGAGACCATTTTTTTTCAGGTGGGAAGAACTGAAAAAAAAAAATCAAGAGAAGCATATGGCCCAAATTGTCAATATATTCCTTTGACTGACATCATCCTTAGGTCAAATATCTGAATTTACAACATTTTCCGTTTTAGCTCCAAACACATGCAGCTTTAAAGTTTTAAAATCTGTGGCTAGTTACTTTGACCACAAATGGAGGAGAAATCAATCTTAATTCTTATTTTTCCTTTTCCTCCTGCTCTTTCTGACATTTGTCTCAAACACCATCACACTCTAACTTCCTCCTCCCTTTTATCCCTCCTCTTAACCAAACTCTCAACTCATCCCTCCCTCCTTTCTCCTCCTGCGTCCCACCTCCTCTCGACTGCGACTCCCCCATGCTGGTGTCATTCTGTTCCCCGGGCTAATGCAGACACAGGAAGTTGGTAGATAAACCAGGATTTGGGCTCCAGATTATCTGCTTGCCTGGCTCCCTCGCTCTGCCTGCCTCCAACCACAAGGCCAGATTGGCCTGAATTCTATTTTTAGGCTGCAGCCAAAGAGACAATCCTTTTTCTTTCCTTGACCACATTTGAGGAGATTTCTAATTGTTTTGACACTTTTCCTTTTTTAGTATCCATTCCTCTGTGGACTCAAACCAGTCAGCACCAGCTTTACTTTAAAAGGCAAATTAACAAGTGAATATTTTCTGTGGTCCCCGAGCACATTTGTTGCAGCGACATAGAGACCTAATTAATTAGCAGTTTATTTGAAAGTGATCGCAGCCGCCCAGGATCCCCAGTAGATTACTGACTAAATGTCTCCCATGGAGGATACATGAGATTCACACGACCAGATGATTTTTACAACAGCAGCGTGGAGTCTCTCTCTCTCTCTCGCTGAATGACCTTGTGTCAAAGTAGAGTTGAGAGGCGCGTTATCATTTCAGTCTGTGTACACTTTACTTTTCAGGAATAATTTGGCTCGCTGAAGCAACCGGGAGAATCATCTCGAATGCTGCAGGTGACAGGAGATCCCGGAGGCAGTTTGTGTTTGACGCTGACTGTTACTGAATTTTCATGGAGATGAGTGTGGCAAAAAAAGGGAAATTCTTTGGTAAAGTGTCAACTGTCCTCGGTCCGGCTGCTGATGTCTCGAACCTCCCACTTTCTTTAACAAAAGTGCCCAGTCATTCTGGCCAGTAGGAAAAGGATTCACCGGTTTTTAGAGTGGACATAAATCTCATTCAGTTGCAGGAGACGTCACTGTTCCTTACCTGTACGTCCCTCTTACTGTTGCTGCCTTGCTCATCTCTGCAGCTCTGGCTGGGGTCTGAAACCTCAGACTTGGTGGCGTTGTCATTTGGAGATGACGCCGGGTCAGTGGCCTCGGAAACCTTCGTTGCTTCACTGTCGGCGGTATCGGACATTCTCATTGCAAAGTCTTACTGGGAGGTGCTGGGAGAGAACCTGAAAGGCAGGAGCATGTCTGTGAGGGCCAGTTTCTTGGAAGAATTAGAAGAAGAGTGAGACTTCGCTTGAATCTGAAAATACTGAGTGATACAGTACAAATATGACAAAGACATTTATTTATTGAGAAACCATGTTAGAATATATTAGTTGAATTATAGTTTGTCCACAAGAGTTTATTTGTGACTGTAATCCTGTAGATACAACCATCACATTGCACATTTTCATAGAGTGGATCAGATTTATTGTTTCAGAAATAACACAACTTAATAACATGCAAATTATTTTTGCACATTCAGAATAAAAGAGATTGAAAGGCAAGAGTTAAAAACAAGTGTAAAAGCAGCTTTTCTGTGAGCACACAAAGAATAAAATCACTGGGGTGTGTCCAACAGATGTGGAGGCATCATCATCTTCATGTTTCTTCTCCTTGACGCTGTGACAGAGATGGAAAAGTTCAGAATTTCTTTATTTGACTTTCTAATTAAATTATAACAACAGGAATTCCGTATTTATTGATAGCTACGACAATATGGGCCTACATTTTTGACAGTGGGTGTATATGTGTGGTCGGTATACTAACTGATATAAAGAAATAAAATTAAACTTACTTGCTCTTCATTTGTGCGGCGGTCCAAATCTTCGCTTGAGGAGTGTTTAACATCTGCATGCATCTACCCACTGGCTTGTGGGTATTATTTTGAAAGAGAAAGCTATAATACTGCAGGAGTAAAGACAGTGGTTTGCCTCATGTGTGAAGATATGAATTTCCCAGAGAGCAGCCCAGCAAATATTTTTGTGTCGCACATGACAAGTGGCTGAGACTCCATTGTTTATCTTCGACCCATAAGAGCTGAGACACCGAGCAGGAGTTGCTGTCTTTAAAAAACAGGTACGACTAAAAGCATTTGTAATGGCAGCATATGTTAATGGGATTCAGCCATTAATAGAGCACAAGGTAGCAGTGTTGTCAGCCCTGTCTGTGGTCGTCAGTCACAACTGCCTTTAACAAGTCAGCAGCTGTTCAGGGAGAGACAATGGACGTGACTCGACAAGACGCAGCAGGACAGTTTGCTCCTATGAGAAAACACTGATTTAGATTACAGTCTTCGTTTACACTCCAACTCACAATTTATTAATTGAGTATTTAACTTCACTTGGTATTAAACTGATGTAAAATATGATTTGTTAGGTATGTTATTAAATTGTGTTTTCATTAGATTAACGTCCCAAAAGGGAACTTACTTTTCTTTCTTTTTAATTCCTGGAACAAAACTATAGGTAAAATCCTCAGTGTATATGTTTTATAGGCTGTCTGCTGGAACAGCTCACTCTCCAGAGAGGACTCAGACTTTGGGCTTAAAACACAGACTTTTCTGTGATGCGTCCCTTTAATTCTGCTGAATAAAAAAATTAAATAACTTCACATTGTTACTCATCGTGTAACATCATTTGCTTTGCACCTATGGCCTGTTGTAGGAATTATCTGTGTAATACCGTGACCTCCCTGTGTTGAAGTCATGGAGCGAGTTCATCCTGATGATATGCCCTCATTATGCAGTTAGGCCCCATGCAGTGAAACACACACACAGACACACACATACACACACAAGAAGGGAGGGCAGACATCTGGTACATGAGAGCTATGATTAATAGGTTAATTAGAAACGGGCTCATCAAATTCACTCTGTACATCAAAACTGAATCCACACATGACAGAGCTTACCCGAGTGTGTACGTGACTGGCTGCGTGTGCTTTTCAGCCCTCGCCAATCAGTCGGGCCTCAACCTATTTGCCCGGCAGTGATCAGAGTCATTTTCCTATCTGATTGCTGAGCCGCAGAGTGGCTTGCTGAGACTTAATTGTTTATCTCCGTCCCAAAAGAGCTGAGACAGCGAGCGGGAGCCACTCTCTTTAAAAAGGTGGCATCCAATTCCTCTGTGTCAGAGCAATTGACTTTGAGTGAGGTCCGTTGCCTGGCAAATGTACCGCTAACCCACTGCTGTGCGAGGCTCAGAGGTTAGCTAAAATGTAGCTTGGCGGTGACGACTCAGATGTTGAATTTCAATGACCTGTCAGAGGTTCGACAAAAGCAACACCAGCTGCTGCTTTACATTATTTTTACATTCTGAAAGAAAACAGCTTAATACTCCAGAGTGCTGCGCACGCCTCTGAATATTTAGTGTCTGTTGCTGACATTTTGATGAGTGAAGTCTCTCGAGTCACTCGCTTGAAGATTTGCAATATTGGACAGATATTTTCAAGAGCCAGGCTTGTGATGGATAGCTATTTTGTCCCTCACCGAATCATTCATTCTTCCAAACACATTTTATCATGAGACTGGAGTGTTGGACTACATTTGGCTTCAGACTTTGATGCATTTGAATTTCACCGTCTCGCCTCTCACGGCTGAGGTAATTGCACTGTGTGCCTGTTTAGAATCCCTGATGTTTTGCCTGCATAAGTAATATGGATCATCATTTGATCCTTACTGTTACATTAAAGAAACGTCTGAGAATCTAGGGAGGGAGCAAATTGGTCCCTTATGAGACGGGAAACAGACAGCAGCATACATTTTCTAACCATATACTTTATATATAATGTGACATTATGGGTTATAAGTGATGATCAGAAGATGCTACAGGAAGAAAACTTTTAGCTTGAGCCACAATCAGTCATGTGCATTTCAGAACAACTGACTGATCTGAATTAATTTCCAGACCGACTTATTTCAATTTAACACTGCGCCAAACCATTCAACTTGGGTTGAGAGTAAATGTTTATGACAATGTGAGATATTCTTAATATGAAATAATGAATATTGTACCATAACACAGCATTAAAGATAATGCTGGGGTGATTATTAAAATATTATGCTGCCCAATCTCTTTTTAGGTGTGTTTTTAAAATCCACCAGATTTTATGTGTCCCTGCTTAATAACAGCAGCTGATGGAAATACACACAATTTCCCATTTAAATGTTTCCTAGGAGATTATCAAATATCCTAAATATTCTCATCAAATAGAAACAAACAGTGGACGTACTTGATTCGAAGCCAGTGGGGGTTGTGGCGAAGGAGGATGTAGCTGGTGAAGTCGATGAGGCTGAGCCTATCGTTGCCATCCGAGACTTCTCTGCCCATGTCGGCTTCAGCTGCTCTGAACAGCGACCGGGGCCTTCGACACCCTCATGACCCCTGCTGACCTGCAGATGAAAGAACCACGGGGTTAGCACTGTGGTGTCCGGGGTGAGAGAGGTCAGAGGTTTGAAGCGGCAGTGACACAGAGGTCGCACACGGATTGACGGCAGTCAGGATGTCAGCAACTCTGAAATATTTGTTTGAGTCAGAGTAAAAAAAGTAAAAGTGGGGTGAGTATGTATTCCTGGGCCTGTGCGTGCCGATGTGCCATAAATAATGGATGAGCGCAGAGATGGGAGTGCAGTGGAGGCAACAGGAGAAGGCACCCCTACCAACATCGTAAAAACCAGGCATTAGGAATTCAGAGAGCAGCAGGGGGAAGATAGCATTTCTCAGCTGAAATCCTCTGCCATTTGGTGCCACACAAATTTCAAATCGTATCGAGTGCAATCTCTGTTTTCCTTTATAGCTTGACTACATGGTGACACTCGCTGGGCTGGGCAGACAAATGGAAACACAGACAACAAAAGAGCTGCACAAAACACACATATTATCGGGAAAAATGTGACAGTCAGATATTTTTTGTGCACTTCACTTGACAATTCTGTCAAATGAATACTACAATAGATTGGCAACCTCCTCTAGTTTGTGAAAATATGGTTGTAGTTGACAAATGAGGCTGCTAAATTTGATCCGATTTGGGCTTAAACTAATGATTTTTTTTCCAATATAGAATGATCTCAGATAGTTTACTCCATTAACTCACATTTTTTATCTATAAAATGTCAGAAAACCATCAGAATTCCCTGGAGCCCAAGTTTACATAAAACGTCACATTGTGCGATGAGAACCCAAAAGATAATTTGTTTATGAAGCTAGAAAACACAGAAAAGCTCAAAATCCTCACAACTGAGAAGCTCAAACCAATTTTTGTATGGCATTTTTGTTTGAAAGATGCTGATTCATTTTCTGACAAACATCCTATCACTTACTTATCTAAGCTCTGCATCAGTTCGCTTAATACTGCTCATTCTCCTCCATCAAACCCGTGTCCAGGATTCTTGCTGTCTCCCTACTTCTGTCTGCCCCTCTAATCTCCCATCTCAGTCAGTGGGCGAGGTGCCACGCTGACTCTGGCACCCGACGGTGCCAAGGCCTGGCTGCTGCTCCCAACATGGACTTGGTGCGACCACCCCCTCACCCCCACCTCCTGGTGCCAGGCAAAAGAGGTCAAGTGGAATCCCTGCTCACTTCATAATCTCCTTTCTCATGACACCTCCATTCGCAGCCAGAGCTGACTGCAGACTGACATGATGATGATGGGTGGGAGAGACGTGCTGTGGAACTGTCACCATTTGGTGCATTGCTTTTGTTTGGCTGCCTCACAGAACCCTGTGCGTTAACGCTTAACGAGAGAAATAAACAGAGATTAAAAATCTGATTGGCATTTTAGCGAATCTGTGAGGAACATTTCACCTTGGCTTAAGCAAACAGTCGAGTGATGCCCCAGGCTGGATCCATTCATCAAGATTACATCTGGAGAGTGCAAAAACTAGTGAATGCAGTTTGTCGCCAGCTAATCTGACAATGTATTTTTCTCATCTTAAAACAGAATCACCTCTCATTATCTTTTTCCTCTGGTTATAAGATGCTCTTATCTCCACCCCTTGCTCTTTTCCCCCTCTTATCTCTTTTTAAATGCAGCCAGAGCTTTATACAGGACTATCATCTCTGGGCGGCGGCTCTAGATATTTGCCCTCCTTGCTCCTGGTTGAAGGCGCAAGTGTTGCCATTTTCATCCGCCATACATAGGAATGCGAGCTAAATGTCTGAAAAGGAAAAATGTGTGTAATCTAGTGCCAGTCCTGCAGCTATCACACAAATGCACACACGAACATGAGCAGAGTGTAAAAGTTGCTCTAACAGCAGTGCGGCTGAGTCTGGCCGTGGGTGCTCCAGGTTTTATGACCGGTGCTACTGAGCGGACAGTGCCGTTAGCTGGCTGGCGTCAGGACTTCACACTGAGCTTGTGTGTGTGTGTGTGTGTGTGTGTGTGTGTGTGTGTGTGTGTGTGTGTGTGTGTGCAGCATAGTGTAGACTGTCTAATGAATGCTAATGGGGCAAACAATGCATACCCCCCCAAAATTTTTGACAGACACGGACAGAGTGATATCCCCCTCTGATTGATGCTCAGCAGCCTCTCACACACCCTACATACACACAGACGTGGCAGTGATTTCATAGAGACGCTCCGTTTGCCTGTGTGTATTGTGCTGTAGCTGACAGGGAGTGGTTCATTGGTATTACAGTCGCCGCAGAGCGCAGCTACCTTAAAGAGGCTCCCTCAGGCATCGTTCAGTGTCACACCGCCTCTTCACACCACCTTTATCGCCATGCTTGATGGGATAGCAGCAGGCACGCACACACCAGACCTTAGCATTTGCACACAATAAAAAAAAAAAATTGACGAATGTATTAATATTACACATTTGCTCACTGAGATAAAAAATTGAAATAATGAATTGCAATCAATAAGCAAATTAAAAACCAATAAAATCTGGATACTCCAAAAATCATTGAGATTATTGCAGTAACCCTTCAGCTACACCTGCCCACATACAAGTCTCTTTACATTTATTCTTGATGGAAACGATTTCTTAAAAAACCTAAGCGGAACGGATCATCATGGTGGTCGTCGACTGAGCTACACCGGGCTCTTAGAGGACCCCTCTCACAGACAATTATGTTCGATGGCAAGCTAATGAGAAATTTCTCAGTCACTGTGAAGTGAACAGAAGCCTGCCAGTGATGGCACCACAAACACACACACTTTTTATCCTCTTCACACAAGCACAAAAACACACCTGCCTCTCTCTCACTAAAGCTGACCTTTCCCTCCCACACCTCCGCTCTGTTGTGTTCTGCTCAGTGCTGCGTGGATCAGGGCTCTTGTCTTGGTTATAACCAGCTCAACTGGAGGTGAAGGACCCTCAATCCTTCCCTCTATCTGCTACTCTATCCCCAGCTCTGCTCCTGACAGAACGAGGAGATGAGAGTCAAACACGGGGTGGAAGAGGGAAAAGAACAAGCTCCTGAGTGATCACAAAGAAAATCCACCCATAATTTCCAAGCGTCTGAGCAAAGAGAGAAAAAAAAAAGATTAAAAAAAAAAAAAGAAGTGAAGGAATCTTTCTACATGCAGGCGCAGCTTGTGTGTTGGAAAATAATTCACGCTTTATTGCAGCTGATGAGCTTTTGCAAGTGTCACATAAAAAAACAACGGCAGGAACGGCGCCAAACATCTGGGATATTGTCTGCAGAGATGTTGAATACTAAACAGAGCTCTGTTTGCTACTGTGAGACAAAAGCACAGCCACAAACACAAAGGTAAGCCCATGTCTGTGGGTTACAGCTTTATGTCACCAGCTTGACAATTACCAGGCTTTCTCAGTTTTTACAAACACAGCGAAGGCAGCCAAACGTTTTATGGCAATGAAATTGATTTCTGACTTCCACACGAACCCACAAAAAGACAGATTTAGGGTAAGTCAGCCTCAGAGCGCAGGACGTGCATCCTGGCAAATAAAATCAAGCCTCAAATAAACTGTTAAATAGGTTGCTAATACTGGTTCACATTCGTGCTCTTGCAATAAAATTGATTTTTGTGTTTTGCTTAACTGAGTTACTAATCTCCCATTTTCTAGCCATTTCCGCTAATTGCAAAGCAAGAGAAGCACTGACAGGGGAGCTATATAATTGCACCAGAAAACGATTAGTGCAAAGCCTATGAAATTATATCACTTTCATACACTGTTCGCTGCAATTTCAGAGCGATTGAGACGGTGTCAGTTTAAGGAACCGCCTGTAATAGCTCAGATGGAATTAACAAAAAA